TATGCGGCCACAAGCGAGACTTTGAGACGATGCTGAGCGATAATAATGTAACGTTAACAGCCAGTATTACAGACATAGTGAAGCAGCAATTGACAGAGGCGCTTGCGGCAGCCCGCGGGTCTTCGATCCGCCGGCGTCGCCGGGGTTGGAGCTGGCAAAGACGGTGTATGCAGATATCAAAGATAAGTGGTGCGAGGTCAATGTCATGGGCCACCGCAATGGGATGATCTGTGTGGCATGGACAGGCGGGCAGTCGCAGCAACTGCGCAGTGCAGAGTTGCCTCGGAGCAAGGTCCGGACGCTTGAGGAGCATAACAATCTTAAAGGGCGCTTCCTTATTGGGCAGTTTCCCATGCTTATGCGTTTCTTCGGCGCTGTCGGAGAGGTAGAGCAGCATCAGTACATCAGAATGCTGGCAAGCGGAGTTAAGTCCGTGGCCGGCGACGCCTATAACCTTGACGTCAAAGCGGCTGCGGTGGAGCGGGCTATTTCGAGCATCGGGATGAACGAGATGATAGGATATTATTAGCCTTTTTTGTAAAATGTCGTCCGTATCTCTCAAATATCAGTCAAACAAGTTTTCCTGATATTCGTGAGAAACAAACAAATTTGACAAAAAAGTTAATAATATCTCGGTCTCGCGGAAAAACTAAAACATAACATTAATTATCAGTAATCTTCAAAATTTTCTGTTACATATCAGTATTCCTTGGTGCTGGAGTGCAAGGCGCGGAGGATTTGTTCGGTCGAAGGCGAGCAACTTAGTTCGCGTCGGGGCAGCCTCTTCCAGTACCCTATTCGGGTCTGGTCTTCTAACGGATAGTTAGATACCGATTTATATAAGCATGATACTTCCCCGTATCACCAATGATACTTTCAGTATCACCATGAATTTAAGTGTGGATAGCACATTGTAACCGTCACGGTGACCCATCTTTGTGGTTCTTTAGATACTTCATCAGAGCCTTTAGATAGAGGACATGGATCTTCTTAGGATCATGCATACCTTTACATGCTTTGTTTACTAGGGGGGAGAGGAGGCGCCTAACTAGGGATACTCTCAGGATCGTGATCCTCTAACTAGGAAAACTCTCTAGATTGTTTTCTACGCGCCGCGGGCCCGGGCTTGCGCTCGGGATACCGGGGGGGCGACGCGTGCGCGCGCGCGCGCCATGCCTCGTCCGATCGGCCTAGTCCTTACGGGGCGCGATCTGGAGCCGCGAGCCCCCGGTCTGCGCGCGGATCTGCTCCGCGAGCCGGTCCGTCTCCGCGGCGTCGCGCTGCGAGAGCATGAGCCGCTGCCGCGGCGCGCCGGCGCCGGCGCCGGGCGTCGGCGCGGCCGTCGGGAGTTGCCGGATGGCGGCCGGGTTCGCCCGCCGCGTCTGCCCGTCGATGGAGTCCTTCGTCGACGCGAGATTCCACCGCTCTTCGTCCGAGAGCTTGAAGTTCCACGCGTGGCGCGTGCGCTTGCAGCGGTCGCGCACGTTGGACGGGATGCCGTCGTAGTACATGCGATCGAGGCGGCCGTCGTTCCAGGCGCCGACGAAGGCCCGGAAGCGGTCGCGCGCGTCGTCGGTCGCCAGGTCGTCGGGTTCTGCGTTGCCACTATGCTCGTTGCATGGGCAGTATCATGCTGTGCTCATAGTTGTTTCTGTTGCCGCAGTAGATGAGCTGGATGAGTCCGATGTGGAACTTACCGATGATGATGAATCCACTGATGAGGACACCGAGGATACGGAGGAAGTCATCGAGGTTCTGGAGCTGATTGCATTCACAAGTTTTTTTCGCTTGTTGTCACGCGCTTTTCTAGCTGCTGCAGGCTCGATGGCTATCAATTGAAAATGAGAAACTCCGTCGCGGAAAAACACAATTGCTAGAAACGTGACAATATTAAAGTCGGGAGCACGTGCTGCTGTCGCCGGGATAGATCCCATTACCAGCAAGACCGGAAGAGAACCAATATCAAAAAAACCAGCTCTCGCAAGGTTAAGGATCATTTTGTTACGGAAGGCAATCATCGCGGCATTTTCGGAAGAATCTGATAGCATCTCAGTCACCTTGCCGGCTTGATTTTGGAAAAAGACCGCGCAACCGAAACCAATGAGGGGCATTACCACAAAAATAATGTTGTAAGTGCTAGGTTGCCAGGCATATTCTCCATATTCACCCGGTAAGGTCCTACAGTTAATAGCTGCCAAAAACCCCATGACAGTGCACAGGATGATTATACGTTTCTTGAACAGATCCAAGATAGGTGGCGCGGTTTTCATCTGTTTTGCTGCATTCGTTTCATTCATCCAGACGAGTGCCATCATAATTGTAGTGGTAGTACCCTCCAACTTAAAGTCAAAATTATAGAACCCGAAAGCGGTGCCCCAGCCCCCAGTCGCCAAAGTTTTGAAAAATATTCCAACGGTGAAAGGAAATGCTCCGATTAACAAAGAGATGGAATGAAAAAAATTAGGTAACACCTCCAAGCCAAATACGGCTTCTTGCATCTTGAAGGGGACTTTTTTAACATTCTTTCCTTGAAGCTGCGCAGTCCATCTTGGGAACATATACGGAAAAAATTGAATACAAAGCATAGCTGTGCTAGTGGGGAAGAGGCAGCATAGCCAAGCCATGAATATGCCAACGCCCCACAGGGTCATGTTTCTTCGGTTATTTGGGAATTCGATACCCGGGCGCCAAGTTCCACGTGTCGCCCTCAACTCAAAAGGGATGTCTCTCTTCAACATGTGATCTATGGTAGGTCGGCTATATAGCCAGTTAAGATCAAAGACACCGAATGTCATCTTTCGTGTCCTCCAATAGATGTCTCTGGCGGACTGCATGTTGTAGAGTCCAACCACGTTGTCTGCTTGGGCGCCGGTGCCAAAGATCATACTCGCCCTTGCGCGATGTAAGTTAAGATGTAGAGCAGGCATGGTGCACGCACCATTTGGAAAGACATTGCCAGAAGTTTCACTCGAAATAAAAACGACATGGCCACGCATGTTTGGCAGCTTCCTTGGGGGGCAGAAAATGCCATACGGATCGGCACCTTCTGCTCTCCCATAACTCGAGTACGGTCTCATGGTGAGTCCTTCATCAAGGGTAGAAAATGGTCGAGATTTTGCGTTCCCCCACGTGTAGATGTATGTTTGATGATACATGCCGTCTCTAATGTTCTTGTATCCAGAATTTTGCGATATGGAATTCATGTATTTGAAATGGCCATGTTTCTCGAAGAACAGGAATAGAGGGGGGCTTTTAGGCGGCCATTTATGGCTTACTGCTTCCGCACGAATTTTTTTATCGGGATCGATATCTGTCCCCTTCCGATACGCTGCTTGGGCAAAGTGTGCGTTCACAGCAAAAACTATAGTCCACAACACCATACTTGTCAATCGACCGCGGGCGTTAAGATGTGCGATGTCCGCGGCGTTAGACAGATGCGCAGGTGATAGTACAGGTAATCTTCGATTAGCCAGGAAAGTAGCGCCCAAAAGAGAGTTTAGTTTATTGGCTCCCTATCCACGAGCGAGTATCGAAAGCCAAATCCGCATGACGGGGTCGGATAATACAACTTGACTTTCGTTGTTCCCACCCCACAGAAACCGACGCGCTTGTTCGAATGGGGAATGGGCCGGGTCTTTGAATTAATTGCGAACATTTTTCTGGACGATTCGCGGTTTTCGTCTCGCCAGCACTCTGGGATTTTCCACCGCGCGTCGCCATCGGTAAGATTTTGCTTACTTGGACCAGCAACCGCTTCCGACGGCGGGCGCCGTAAGCTCAGCGCGGCCCGTGAATTAATTGCGCCGACCCAGGGGTGTTGCAAGTAAACGCGCTTGGGTTAATTTATTGAAGTAGTAATCGAAAACCTCATCGAAATCATCCAAAACGGCATCGCTTCGACCGACGGATAACGCTGCGATGATGTGATGCGCCGGCACCGCGCCGTTTTGCGCCAGGTGGTGCACGAAAAGCGCGCGTGCTGCGCCGGGCAGCGACGACGGGGTTCGGGAGCTCAAAAAATCCTGCTGGCGGCATTCTGCGGCGAGACTGTCGATCACTGCGACTGCGGGGCGCGCCGACTCGATTTTTGCATTCCGGGGTCCATATACCGTGACAGCTGGCATGGGGCAACTCATCACCTCTCTGCGGTTACCCTGCGACTGAATTAGGTTCGAAACTTCCCCGCGCGCGCGACGACGACGACGACGGCGGCGGCGGCGACGGCGGCGGCGGCGGCGGCGGCGGCGGCGGCGGCGGCGACGACGACCGACCGACCGACCGACCGACCCAGAAAATAAGTGCCAGGAGCTCCCTGGGGACCTAGGGGGGGTCGCCCGACGCCTCCCCAAGTACGCCCCCGCCGGACCCAGTCGAATTTTACAAACCCGACCCCCCATGCGGGATTTTACTAGGGGGGGTCAATGAACCCCGGCGCCGCGGCTCTCCGGGCTCCGCTCCGCCTCCGCTGGCGCCTGGTTTCGGGAGGCGTCCCTGGAGCGACTTCCGGGATTTTGGGGGACGCGAAAATTGGGGGAACTGCGTCCTGCGGCGCCGTACGGCGAATGCGCCGATTTATGGCTCCCCCAAAACTCGCCCGGGCCCCGGCCAGAATGGGTCACAGTGCCCTAGTACCATAACTTCGCTCAATCCGGACGGATCAGGACGAACCGAAAGTCGTTTTCGAGTTCCTACGCGGGCTCCTCGGGATGGGCGCAGCCTCGGAGCTCGGCTCGACGACGGCAAAATCCCGGGTTTTCAGTGTCGCCCCCTAATTTTACTCCGACTGGGCTGCAATTGCATTTGCGGCAGTACAATATGTTTCCGGTAACGAGTTGGTGAGTTTAGACCACCTATCATCATCCAGCTAAATAAAACTGCTAAGTGGGATGGTCCCTAGAATTCTTCAGCGTATCGAGCACTACGCAGAGAGAATTCGGTTCTTTAACTTCCTCCAGGGTGCATATCCCATTGCGTATGAAACTCCCTGGCAATCGAAGATTACCTGTACCGAACTTGATTGTGGCCGAGTGCCCTCCCGTCCTGCGCTTCTGCGGCGAGCAGTTATCAAGCTGCTGGGCGCTACGAACGGCCAAGCGGACAGAAACAATACTCCCTTGCACAAGAACGGCTCGGACCAGCCATGCACACAAACAGTAGGACGGCGCGGGGGGGCTAGCACCGCGCCGCGACGAAGCAGTTGGTCAATGACCGAGATCGTAGAAATTGAGCTCGTTACTCCATGCACGCACGTGCGCCTGGGTTTTATGAGAGCGATAGCTCGTGCATTTTCAGTCTCCAAAAGCAATTGGAGACGTTCCCTAAATAACAATGGTCGAATTACCACCAGGACTGCCAAAAAACTGCGCGCCAGCTTCGACCTATACGACAAGAATAAGAGTGGATCGGTCGACATCTATGAAATGACCCAGGTTGAAACTTATCACAGTTGATCTTCTCTAAGTCACATTACACAGTGCGTTGCGTCTCTCGGACACACGCTGACGGCTGAACACATTGCTGACATCTTCAAAACTGTGGACATCGATGGAGATGGAAAAGTGGACTTTGATGAATTTGTTCTCATCATGAGCAAATGCCCGCGCCAAATCCCGCTGCTTGTACTCACCTTTTTTGTGTAGAGCTGCAAAGACGACACGGCCTTTGGCTTGAATGCATTGAATTTGCGCTCCGGGAATCTTGTTCACTCAGTCATGACGATTGCAGAAAGCTCCTAACACGCAAATTCGCCAACTTCTCCCCGGGCGAAATCGACCACTTCGTTTTTACCAAAGTTGCGTCTTCACAACCCTCAGCACAAATCTCATTGTCGTAGGTAGGGCTGGTTGATGACAATAAAGATGGCTTTGTCACCCTAGAGAAAATTCAGTCCTTTTCACGCACAAACAAAATCATTGCCGATGTTTTCCCTTGTCAGTTGCTTGATTGAGCCAGCGGGAAGTTCAACTTGTGTGTATGTAAAGGGAATTAGCTAGGCTACCCTTCAATGAACTGGGTACTTGCAGTTTAAACGAACCCCACTAGTCTCGTGGAAAATTCTTAAGTCAAGATTCCGTTGAGTAGATGAAAATCTTAAAAGAAATGAGGAAAATAAAAAGATAATTGATGAGGCTTGTCGTGATATGAACATTGATTTTGATATTTTTCAATACAAACCTGTGTTATTTTGTCCGTGTGGACACGATATATTAAGAAATCATTTTATAGGTTTACCAAATTCCAATAAAGTTATTTGCATAGGTAGTGAATGTGTTAAACATTTTATTGTTAATGAAGGTGTGACGAAGTTAAAATGTTTCAAGTGTGATAAGGGACAGCGTTCCAAGGACGGTATAATTTTATGTTCTACTTGTGGAAAGTATATTAGGGATTGTATAGAGAGCGGTTTTGCGAAACGCCTTAATGGGCATTGGTCTCTTGAAAGAGATCGTAAGAAACAAAAGGAACGATTCAAAGAGTTTATAAGGACAGATTTACCGAGAAAATTGCGGGTTATGTATGAAAGAGGCAAATGTTGGAAGGAATTTATGGTTTTACTTTGGGAATTATTAGCAGAATACAATCTATTAAATAGTGCTATCATAAAAATATTTTAACAGGATTAAGCAAGACCAAAAAAATGATTTAAACTTAAGATAATAAGATATAAAATATATATGGACAAACAATTGGAAACAGAACCTAAGCCTAAAAAGAAGGTCGGGCGTCCTCGTAAATATCATACCGATGAAGAATATAAAGCTGCAAGAAAAATACAAAACGATAAATATACGGCTAAGATTAAGAAAATGCGTGAGTTGTGTCAGCAAATTGGAGAATGCTTATGGAATATTTTGAAGGTAAAATCTTTGCCTTTCACGATGCCATATACATCAAACAACCTAATGGGTTATATTATCAATTAAATGGTGATAAGGATTATTTCAAGAGTTTTGTTCGTCGGGAAATATTGGTTGAATTTGTTCTACTATCTGATCAACTTGGCGAGGAAGAGTTCTTAGTTATGATTCAAAATGCCCATTACACACAGCATTTATGGACGACCTATACAAGTTGGGGCGTGACCAATATTCGGATGTTCCTTTAAAGATGAATAACAATTATGGATATATTGGGTTCAATGGGCTAGTGAAGATTACAGCTAGATTGAGGAGGAGGATAATCACATGCGCGATGATAAAAAATTTACAAGTCTTTTAGTTCCGTACAGGCCGCGAAGTTCACGACCTTTTACCATACTCGACGCAAAGCTTCGTCGCGCCCCTGGCCGCGATCCCGCCGGCGCTCGCCAGCGTCTGCGGCGATGCCGTCGCGCACGGGCGCCTTGAAATTCAAATCGCAAACGCGTCACGTTTCGCGCCTGTACCGAAGCACTTGGCGGCACCAAGCTTTGAGGCTTTACACGACGAAGATCGAAGTGATTGAGTCGGTCAAGGGCGGCGGAAATATATTTTTTGGTGGCTGCTTGGGTTCGAACTGAGAGATAAAGTGCGTTGACCGCGTTGTCCGAGTGTTTGGACTGTGTGCGAGGCGGCAAGCCCGAGTGGCGGCGAGTTTGTGTTGGATATGAGTTGTGAATGACGTTGTACATGTGTAACTCGGGCGAGAGCTGCGAATTCGACCGCCGGAGCACTGCGCCATCGCTTGCTTCGGGGTTTGTCTTCCGCACGGCCGAGTGTTTGGACTGTGTGCGAGGCGGCAAGCCCGAGTGGCGGCGAGTTTGCGTTGGATATGAGTTGTGAATGATGTCGTACGTGTGTAACTCGGGCGAGAGCTGCGAATCCGAGGAACGCGCTGCGCAAGGTGTCCCGCTCGGCTGTCCTACTCGCCCGCAGCGCGCTGGCGCCGGAATGCGAGCCTAGTCGCGCGAGCTTTCGGTGCATGGCCGCCTAAGACGGTCTCTAGTCGCGCTAGTTCCATATCCCTTATGTTGGGCCCCCTGGCGACTGCCAGCTGCCCCACCGCCTCACTTCCTGGAAAGCTCATGCGTCCATCTAGCGCTCCTTACGGCTGGCACGGCGCACGCGGTCGGAGGGTGGCTTCTGGGTGGAGATCGGGATGTTGTGGTGTTTGAGGATGGCGTCGCCTAAAAAGTCGCAGAAGCCTGGCTCGTAGGTGGCTGTCTCGGTGGCATACTCCAGCCTCTCGGGATGCTTGTTGGTAGGCTGGTTCTCGATCCACTTGCACGGCGAGCAGGGGGTACAGAAGTAGTCGTCCTCTGGGAAGTCGGCGATGTCAGTGAGGATCTCCAGGGTTTTTTCGAACTTGGTGCCACAAAGCTTGCACATAGATACCTACGATTGGGTTGCTGTCGGTTGGGTGGAAGCGCTTTTGCGGCTCGGGCGCATGCTCGGCAGCGCCGGAGGTTGAGTGTGATCATGTCCTGGAACCAGGGCTGCTTGTGGACAACCCCTGTTGGGTGTTCCCATGAAAATGTCACAAAGGGGCTCAGCCGTCGCGTATCGTTGATGGCCTTTTTCCACATTGTTGCGCACCCTTCCGCTATGTGGACAATTCGTGCTTTATCTGGCTTTAAGCCCTTTGCTTTGGCCTTTTTGCCGTAGGTCCTATGAGCTAGCATGTATCAAAGATAAGAAAGGTGGGACACTGGATGTTGCTGTTGCCCGGCGGGCGAATTTGCCTTGCAGTCCCATGTGCAATGCACATGGATGAGCTGTGGGAACATGGTCAGTAGCTTGCTGAAATCCAAGTTTCTCAAATCTTCCTTTAGGTGCGCAAATCTCCTGTCATCCCAATCGATCGTGTAGACTCCTATTAGACCATTTCCCTTGATAAATATCGCCTGTGCAAGGGCTGCACTTCCCGAACCAACCTCGATGACGATGTACTTGTACAGCCTCGGTGCATCTGCCGGATTGGGCAGTTTGTCTCTTCCCACTTGGGGTGGGAAAACTGAAACACCAGCTTTCTTCCTCTTTCCTCCAGACAGTCTCTCGTCGAAATATTCAACTAGATGTTGTGCCCTTTCATGGACATGCCTCAATTCCTCGCTTTGTTTTTGCTCAGTTTTTGTTAAAGCAACAATGTCCTGCGAGTCTCTGTCATACACTGCTCTCACTCTGTCTGCCTCGAACTCAACCACCACTTCTTTTGCATCTTCCCTTACCACAAGCGCATTTACAGGTGCTTTGTAACCATTTAGCTCCACTGCGACGAAGTCGCCCTGGGAGGCCAACGCACCTGCGACGGGAGCGGAGTTAGATTCTTCTAGCCGCAGGGCCTCGCTTGCTGTCGTTGTAACGTCCCTTGTCACGCCCCTTTTCTTCAGCCTGTCCATGGCTGAGTTGATTAGAGACGTGCGGCTTTTTCTCTCTCCGAGATGATAAACATCTCGGAGAAGTTCGTGTGCCTTGTCGTGCCTGAGACAGCCTCGGATGGACTGCGGTTTCGATTCTTCGATTTCGCGGCGCAGCGTTGCGTCGAGCGCAGCCTTTCGCGCTTTCTTCATTGTAAAGAAGGGTGGCGATAATAGGTTTTCAGTCAAACGGATATATTGTTATCCGTTTGACTGATTTGCAAGGTATTACCGGCCGGTCCCTGCCGCGTGCGATTGGCCCGTGACTTTAGGTTATATTAGGAGGGGAGTATGTAAGCGGAGACGCGTGGTTAGGTGAACTCCAGTGCGCCGACCACGACTCTCGGATGCGGCTCGAGGCCGGCGCGGCGCTTCGTGCGGGCGTACGCGGCCTTCAGGGCCCTCAGGCCCACCTTCGACTCGAGCCACTCGGCGGCGCCCTGGGAGGTCCGTACGCCAGGGACCTTCGCCTTGAGTAGTTCTTGCATGCTCTCTGCAAAGCAAAGGTGCATGGCAAGTAGGAAGGGGGAGGAGCGCTTGAAGGCCCGCCGCGCCTCGAGCGGGGTGATGTGCTGATTGGTCGGTTTCGCGCACAAAAGGGGCGAGGAGGTCGCCGAGTAGTCGAACATCCTCGTTTCCTGCTCGAGGCTTGCTGTGTCCTCGCAGCTGCAGGAGCACCAGAGCGTTGTCCGCACGACCCAATCACCGACGTACGGCGACGTCCAGATGGCCTTGAGCTTTTCCGAGATCGCCTGTAGTGACCCAAGGCCAACCTGGCCATCTTGAAGCTCTGACATCAACCTATGAAGGTCGCGGTCCTTTGCGAGTGAGCCCATATTCGCAGCGTAGCCGGCTCGGATGGGCGAAGGTTGTCCCTTTTTCTCACCCTTTTGAACAAACTCAGGACCCACAGCATGTGGGCCCATCTTCCCATTTGCACAATGATAGCTAGCCTTCCAATGGCCCAGCTCCTCGCTGCCAGCTTCGGCTTCGATGTAGCGGCGCCTCACCTCTATCGCACAGGCCACCAGAAAATCTGCGTTGTCACTCAGCTTGTTCCAGGGAGGCCTTGTTAGTCCACCAAAGCCGTAAGCCATGCAGTCCACCATCCACTCGACGCACGGTCCATACTTCACCAGCACTATCGCAGGTGCATACCATGGCGGCAGGCCAAGCGCACGGGCTCGGATGATCCCTGCTCTCACTGCCACCATGTCAGATGGAAGCCTACTTCCCTGATCTGCATACGTCGCGTATGTCAGCATGAACGCTCGAGCGAGCGGCGCGGTTAGTCGGGTCTTCCCTGGCTCTTTAAAAGGCAAGGGGTCCGGCTGCTGCTGCGCAGGCTCTTGGCTTGCAAGAACATCCAACCAAGCGTTGGTGCACTTTGCTGACCACGCATCGCGTGCGGCGGCGACGTTGGTGCTCCGAGCACCGCCGCGCTTTCTCTTCACCCTGAAGTGGGTGCCCGTCCACCCGTTCAACACGTCTCTGGGAAGGTGCTGCCTTTGTTCATGCTTCTGCAATGGCATGGATCAGTCAAATTCGGCAAAAGGGCAGCGAAGACCGCGAGCGAAGAGCGGAAAACGGGATCAAAGTGGCAGCCACCTCGCATCAAAATTGCTTCCTTCGGTATCTTGATCGATATATAAACAACTCACAGGTAATATGGTGTTGGGGGCTTTTGGGGGCCCACGGTCATAAAATCTGCCAAGGGATCGCGGAAAGAAAAGGTATATCCCACATCCGCCCTGGCAAGTAGCGTGCCTCTATCCCGGTGTCGCAGCGTAAGACATCGCCTGGGTCCCAGCGATCCCCTCCCAAGTCGCTACCTACTACCTAGGGGGGCGGAGCTAGATTCTTACTTCCTAGCGTCCATCTCGTACATCACCGTAAACCAGTGCACTCCGCCAGAGGGAGCGTCCGCCGAGTCGAAGTTTGCAATGATGCACTTCCTTGAGCTCTCGCCCTTGACCAGGCACGCGTCCAGGTCCTGCGCGATGCGCTTAAGGAGCTCATCCCAGCTGAGCGTGTACGGCAGGTGTGCGTCGTCCAAGCCCCCAGGGGCGTACTGATGGCACAGCGTCATGACCTCGGTTCCGGTGATGAACCTAGCCGAAGTACCCGGGGTGGACAGAACCTCATTTGCACCTGGGATGATATTGTTCATATTATTAACTGAAACCTGGATGAGATGGTCTGACATGACCTCCATGAAGTTGTCTTTACTAGACAGTTGAGTGGCAACAATGGCGGCTATATAGCCACAAGATGGACCCTCTTGCAGACCAGTGTATATGTCATTTATAGTACTGAACTTCATCTCTTTGGCCCAGGAAACTAGCTGTGTGGCCCTTCTTGATCCATGGTCCCAATAGTCTACAATTCTCATCCTTAGGAGGGGTTTCTTTGTCCTTATTGCCCTTATCATTCCTTTACTTCTCCATTCCAGTTCTTTCGGGAGCTTCTCGTCCAACGGACATGGCGGGAAGCCCATCGAAACCAAGCTCCCTAAAGCATGATCCAGACTTCGAGAGCCACTGTCAAACCTATGCTGATTGTTTTTAACCACATTTCAACTTCATAGTTCACTTGCCTTCTTCCGGCTTTTTGATCTGCATAATGCTTAGCCATTTTTGCTGAGGTGTAAGAGTCTTTCGAGGCAGGCTTTTTATCAGGCTTTGTATCAGGCTTTTTATAAGCAGCTGGGGGAAGGGAAGGAGGTGCAGGTGGAGGAGCAGGTGGAGGTAGAGGAGCAGGTGGAGGTGGAGGAGCAGGTGGAGGAGGAGCAGCAGGCGAAGGAGCCCCAGTCTTTCGTCTCACTCCATCAGCACCCTTCTCTGGGACAGAATTCTGAACCCTGTACCTTAACACTGTTTTTTCTAATTCGTCTGCCTTGTCCTGGCACTTTTTTTTTTCTTGTGCTGGCAAGTCCTTCCATGCCTGCCTCTCCTTCTTCCCATTGCTCTTTGCAATAACCTACGAGATGAATGTTCATGTGAGACATTGAAAATAGATGTAATACTCTGGATATATTACACATATGGCAAGGGCTGCCGCAAAGGCACACCACCTTGGGTGTTTGCTCTTGCTTTGGCAGCATGGGCACTTCGAGTCAAGCCCCTCCAGGTCTGGAGGCTTTTCTTCTGATGGGAGCGATCGATGCGCCACAGCGCTGGGCGCATGCATGCACTTCGAGTCAAGCCCCATAGATACCTTCTCCAAACCCTTGTATACTTGAGCTGGCTTTTCATGCGCCGGCAGACAGGGGTGGGACCTGTCCAATGAAGAAGCCCATGCTTCTGCCTCGTCGTCCGGCGCCTTCTTCTCGAAGAAGCTGTCCGCGTTCATCCTGTTGGTAAAGACTCTTTTGGCCTCTGATCTCAGGGCAGCTGAGTCTTTTGGGCCTATGTCTTTTAGCTGGATGTTAGGGTAGACGTACGTGCCGCCTCCTAACACACACAGGCAGTAGAGCCTGTTCCACTCGGCCTGCATGCTGCCTACACGTTGTCAATGTCAGAACACAACAAAAAAGAAGAAAAATCATTACCAAAATCTACATCATCACTGGTTTTCCATGACTTCCTGAATTTTTCTTCTAGCTGCTTGTACAGCTCTTTTTCTTCTTTTGTTTTAATTGGTGTCGGGAACCCACGACACGACGTCATCCTGTCCATGTACGTCTCCTTTGTGAATTCTTTGTCTTCCTTTGTGGCATAATCCAGCATGAATTGCACCTACAATACAGAAAGCTGAATTTCATGTGAAGAAGGCGCAGTACGCAGCTGCGGGCAGCTTCGTTGCCTCGATGATCGTGGCCTGCTCCCCAAAAGTCGGTGCTCTTATCATTGGGGTTTTTATCATCATGACTCGCTAGCGCCAGGGAGGGAAATGGATCCATGTTAAACAGGGAGTTACTCATCTTTTTGATGTTCATGATCATCCCCACGTCGCATGTGTTGAGGGCATCACCCCCTGTCCTTTTCCTGCCCTTTTCTATGTTCCACATGGCTACGAAATCAATTAGGGCGTTATCTATCGTTTCCGCACTGCACATCGGCCCTGTGCAAATAGCCTCCATCGCCCGCCAGAGCGCCTCGAGCTGGCTCGACCCTCTCTTCGTGACAAACTTGGGGTTCTCGCCATCATCACTTACTAGAAAGTACATGTTTTCGCATGTCGGGTCGCCCAAGAGGCCTTCCCGACAGAGGCTCTTGGTACTCTCGTGAATGGTTTCAAAATTTGCCAAATACAAGGCTCTATCTGGAGCCGTCCGATCCTTAGCATCTCTATATTTGCGTACCACCTTATCTACCCTATCCCAAAGTTCAGCTGAGTCGGGCATCCATCGCCTGCACCTGCGTTTCCACCTACAAGCACACATCAAACGGCCGCACGTAGGGTGCGCCGACGTACCAGGCCGCAGGCTTGGCCGCGAGCTGCTCTCTAGTGAACTCACCCTCCTCCACAAGCCTCTTCTCCCAGTACTCCTTGTCCCTGTCGTCGATGGGCAGCATGGCGAGGCTGAGCTCGCTCAAGAACTTCCACTTCAAAGCGTGCTTGCCCGAGCATACTCCGCTGTAGTCATACATGACCTACAAACATGCATCAAACATATCAAATTTATCGACTCACATGAAATGGGTCTTTCAAGACCCGCAGCGCATCGTGGAATATCTCCCTCAGGAAGCGCTCGTCCTTGTCCGGCTGGTCGGTGTATACGCCTTTAAGGAGCCATTGGTTGGCTTGCCACCTCTTCGCCAACTTCGTAAACATGGGTTCCATCTCCTTGAGGCTCTTTGTCCTGGTGAACAAAGCAGCAACGACCTGTGGTGAATTGTTATAGAGGCAATACGAAACAATCGCACCTCTTGATGCTCGTTCATAACCCCAAAGAGGCTCGAGAACAACCTGGCTTTCTTCTCCCCGTGGACAAATTTCGAGGACCAGAAGGTGTGGTCTATTTTGAAATATTCACCCGAGAAGCTTGCTAAATATAGCAGGCTTATCATTCTTCTTCTCTCGCAGTCTAAGGACCAAATCCGCGTATACCGATGGCTCCCTGGCGCACGCCCGCCATAACCGTCTGTGAACTTTCCAAATGGAAGGGCCTTGAACTTGGTTTTAAGTCTTACTGCCTTTTGACAGGCGCTGTAGTACGCTGCCATCCTGTCGTAATAATGTCCGAACCTTATCGACGTAACCAACTTGCACATCATTTCCATTGCAATACCGTTCGGCCTACCGACCTGCATGGCCCTAACCAAATCAAATGAAGTCACTGTCCTTTCTGTCACCATAAACCCTAAAATTTCCATCACGCCACCCTCCAGCTGGCTGACTATGGCTGGGTTTAGTGAAGTAAACCAACGGTTCGTCTTCCCTGGCTTCGCATGCTTGCAGCCCTTGCAAATGAGCCGGTTTTTTATTATCACACTCCTTTCATACCCGATGGAAAGCACATGGGTTATCCCTGGCGCCCAACCACCGAGGCCTAGTTTGTTTCCACATTTAGGGCATCTAAAACTGCCTCCTTTAATGCATCCTGGGAAAAACAAATTAGGGTTGAAGATTATCAGATACTCAGGCGCATGGTACAGGTTGATGTTGGGGGGGGATTGGGATAGCGGGGAAGGCAATGCAAATCTGCAATTGCCCGCCCACCCCCTTGGAATAGCTGCGCCCTTGATCAAACTGCCTCGATACATACATCTTTTTTCTTGTTTGTCTCCTCTGATCATCTTCAGTGTCCTCTTGGCCAAGGCATGGACCTCCTTGTTCCGGCAGCTGACTGTGTCTTCCATGTCTTCCATGTCTTCCATGTCCTCTGAAATCGAGGGCTTCCACCCTGATACTTCCCTCAACTCACCTCTGAAATCTTCTTCTTCTTCTTCTTCTTCTTCTTTTTCTTCGCCTTGCTTCTTCTTGACAATCTTCGCTGGCTGCTGGAACCAACATACTTCAGCTTTGTTTGTCATTGATTTTATCGTTTCATCATTGACGATGAAGTTGCACGATCCATCGTCTGTTTTGATGAAGAATTCTCTGTTCTGGCTATTCCAGCCACCTACGTATTTCATGTTTCAAAAACAAAAACTGGGACAGGGGACTTACGGCTCCAGATCAACAAGCCAGGCTTGCCTTTGAAAATGATTCTTAGACTACCTGCCCTACATATATACTTTGCTACTTGATCGAGCTCCATCTCGAGGTCGACGGCGGGAGCCGCTCCCGTGAGGTCCTTCTTGTTGACCTCTCTGCTCACCCCATTGGTGAGCAAAATGACTGCTACCCTCATCCCCCTTCCCCTGTTGGCCCTTGTGATCACTCCGATCGAGCCCTAAAACATAAATAACTTTTCATGCTTAATAACATTTCAAGTATTACCTTGTGAGTGTAAAACTCTCCATCCTCTGGAGGGCCGGAGCCAGGGATTTTCCAGTGCTTACCCTCTACCTTCTTCTTGTCACTGCGATGCCCAAACGCAACCCACTGCGTTCTCTTTCTATCTTGTTCCAACTCAGTGCATTTTACCTTCATCTCACTTCTTCTCGCTTGCTTGTCCTCTGCCTCTCGATCTGTCCTCGCTTCTATCTCCTTCTCGATCCTGGCGCGCTTTTCGAGCTCTTCATCTGCCGCTTCTCGCTTCTCTCTCTCCCGCTTCCTTCTATCTGCTGTTGACCCCAATCCGATCGACGCCGGAGATGATGGCGTTGGACTAGGTCGAGATGGGGTTGGAGTTGGTCGAGAACGCTTAGAACGCGCAGCCCAACTTCCAATGGCGATTGAAAGAAGAAGCAAGGCACGCATGCTTAACAGTCACACGCTTGAGATAAGCACAAGCGTCGAGAGCCACCAATCAAAGGGGCTAATTGCGACTATTCTTTTACTTGAAGCCAATCCACAGTAACTTTTTGGCCCCCTGGAACAGCAAAAAGGCGTATGCGGTCCATATCGGACCAAACCGCTCCCACCGGAAGCGCAGCTACAGAGAGATCCCCCCTTCTTTTTTCAGTTTCTTTTTTAATTTTAATTTTTATTTGATGAACCAATGTATATCCTAATAGCGACGACCCACCTCGGTTCAATAATGGAGTTCTACGATTGTGTGATATGAAATTTAGTGATGTTGGCTTTGATGATGTCTTTCTCTCCTGGTCTTGTGGATATGATTATCCTCAAGAGCCTATCAGTGATGAAATTATTGATATCTTTGAGACTTGGCTGGACAAGTATGCACGTGCAGCTAATGAAACTGTGGATATGAAAGCCGATATTAAGACAATGATTGTGGAGACACTTTGTGATAAGAACTCTAAAGAACGTGCCTTCTTCCTTATGGGGGAAGGTGGCAATGGTAAGAGCGTCCTTTGTAATCTACTTTGTAATTTACTTGGTGAATATGCTGTAAACGTCCCCTTTGAGACTTTAACTAAATCCATTGAGGCTGAGGGTAAAAATCCTTTCATCAAGAGAATGCGTTATAAGCGGTGTGTCATCATTGGCGAGGGAGAAGAGAACCAAAAGATACATTCAGGTTTGTTCAACGACACTTGCGACCAATAAGGACGAGATTAGATGCCGTGATTTACACGAAAAATTACAAGACCAGAAGCCATTTTATGGGACTTTCAAGATTATCCATCCATTCAATGGTGAGAGCATTCAGTTCTCTGGTGCAGTGGATTATGCAACTAAACGCCGTATTACCTGCCAGCAAGCACCTAATCGCTTTGTTGAGGGGTATGACTCGGAGAATAAAGACGAGAACATTCTTCCTCGTGATTATGAACTAATTGACAAGTTGGAACTATTTACGCCTTATCTATGGAAGTGGTTGGAGAAGGATATAAAGGATTATTATAAGAATGGATTACCAACTTACTCTGATGATTTTATGAAGTCTACCCGACTCGGAGACTTCCAGAACAAATGCAATCGTGAATTGTCTTTATTCTACTCTGTTGTTGAGGAAGATCCTAACTCAACGGTGACGCTGCAAGATGTGTGGGCAAAGGTTGCTAATGGGACTGTAAAAAAGACTGTATTCTGGAAGGCAGTAAAAGACGCATTTGTTGGGAGGATTATCCGTAACCCTCCTAACCTTAGTACATAAGAGCTAGAAATCGTCAAAGCCTCTGGGTAAAATTCCAACGGCTTTTGTGATTTGACCTATTCACAAATAAAGAACCTGATGGGCGTCGCCCATGATTCTTTCTTGTGCGATATTTAAAGCCTAGGCTACTCTGGTGGCTATGGTAATATTTGGGCTGAGGCTAGACCAGGTCAGAGGAGCAGCTCCGCCTGATATGTCGCAGCATAGTCAGGTAAGCTTTCCTCGTCTTCCGAATCTCCAAACGGGTCCTTGCCAGCTTCCATGTCAACCTCTACTCCGGCTTGAAGACACCGCTGGACTTCCTGGGCGCGTAACCCTGTCCGCGCGGCTTGGGCACGGGATAAGGGAGGCAGGCTTCTTGTCATGTTAGTCACCTGTTCCATAGGTAGCTCATCGACAGTTTGCTCATTTGACTCCTCTTCGTGCTGTCGGCACGGCAGTTGGCTTGCTTTGCTACCACTTGGTCGCCGAGAGCTACCTGCTCCCCTGTAAGGCCCTTAGTAAGGCGTGCCATGAAGCATGCATCAGACTTGGTGTCTGCTTGCTCAGTTGTCATGCCCGTACTCCACAGCCAATCCTGGCCATTCGCAGGCGCAGCCGGCTCCCCCACCACCGCAGGATCTAGTCGCGTGCCTGAGAAAGGGCCACCTTGTGGTCGCGGACCATCACAGCCAAGGGGACGAGGAGGTGATGGAGCGATTTATCAAACTCTAAACGAACGGGTTCCTCGTACCCATACTCTCTGGCCTTCTGGAGGAAGGCCTCAAAATTCTGGCGACTTAAATCGTCAGCCATACCATCAACCCAGCCGGCAAAATGCCGTGTAATTGCCTCCATGTTATGCTCAGCCAAAATGTCAAAACGTCTCATCGATGGCTCGTATAAGACCGGGTCGGAAGGGGCAGACCCATTGAGTGCGAAAACGACGCCCGCGTTATCGCACTCGTCATACATTTGGTGCCCCTCTACCAAGCGCCCAAAAACGGCCGCGTTCTGGCAAACCCCGTAACACTCCAAGTGCGCAATGTTGGGCCACTTCACTATGGAATCGTCGAACACTTCTGACCAATAATACCCTGGGCCCAGCGGCAAGAACCCGCCGGCCCCCGAAAGTTTCCCTTCATCCAAACAGCGGCAGGCGTCGCTCATCCACGACAGCAACGGCCCTTTCAAGTGCTGCTTGGCTGCCATCATCCGACGGCCGGGCGACTCCCTCAATGCCTTGATCCACCAGTCCAGGTGCTCAATGATATTGGACGGGAGCTTCACCCTGTCGCCACGGCGACCGTAAGGTGCTCCCCAGCGCTGGGAGAGCACCTTGAAAAACCTGTTGAGGAACAACTTCCCACGCGGGATGCCAAACGCTACCGACACCAACGTGTGGACGAGGCGGTTGAACTCTTCACGCGGAGCACTGCGATGCTCGCGTACCTCTGCCAGCCAGGCAATCAAACGCGCTCGCTTATCGTCCGGGAGGATCACGACAAACCGCTTGACGTCCTCGATGAACCCGAGCTCGCGCAGGCGCTGCCCAAAATTAAACTTGTCGGAGTCGACGCATCCGTGATCTTAACCAAACCGTCGCCGCTCTGCTGAGACGTCCTGATGGCCTCAGCCAGCTTGGAGGTGACGTGACCAAGAAAAGCCTCCTGAGGCGCCTGCGGGCCGCTCGCGAACATTTCGATTATCATGCCCTCTGTCATCCCGATGTCTGAGATAATCCGTTCCACCGCACAAGCTTTGACGGTAGAATTATAGGCGTCGCCGGCAACCGACTTAACTCCGCTTGCCAGCATTCTGATGTACTGCTGCTGCTCCGCCTCCCCGGCACCACCGAAGAAACGCGCAAGCATGGGAAACTGCGCAATAAGAAAACAATAAGAAAACGCCCTTTCAAACTGTTGTGCTCCTCAAGTGTTCGGACCGCGCTCCGAGGCAACTCTGCAAAGCACAGTTGCTGCGACTGCCCGCCAGTCCATGACACGCTGATCATCCCATTGCGGTGGCCCATGACATTGACCTCGCACCACTTACTATTGATATTCGCATACACCGTCTTCGCCAGCTCCAACCCAGGCGACGCCGGCGGATCGACGACCTGCGCTCGATACCGCGCTGGCGAATCTGGGGCCGGGCCCGGAGCCGGGGCCGCTGCTCGCTGCTGGTGTTGCCCCCCCCCGGGAACAAACTCTGTTGCTTCTGCTGACAAATGTGCCCCGCCTCCCGGCTGCCTCTGCCGCGCAAAATGCTGTGGAGGCGGGCCGGTTGCCGCCACTAGCGCTGGCGGCGCCGTCCCTGGGGCTGCCGCAAGCGCCAGCGCTCCCGTA